ACTCATACCTCTATTATCGTACTTCCACAACCTTCTCAAATTTCAAATACCACTTCAAAATGGTCTTGCGCTCCTCGAACAACCATGCTTCCACCATTTTTTTTACTGTTCTGCCTGTCGCATGGTGACGCTAGCATTCATTTGATTAACACCATTTTTTGAGCGAATATCATACTACACATTGCTACCGTAATTCAATTCAACTTCGAAAAGTAATACATAGATAACATCTCTTAAAATGTGTATACACTTTTTTGGCACACCCCCACCCTCCGGGTAGTAATGTTTTAGTAAAAAGAGTAGACACAAGTTCCCTGAGTTCAAAGTTCCAAAGCTAATAGATGGCCCTGAAAGGTAACAGCATTTTGAGAGCTATGTTTATTAAAACCCTGTAAACTACATCTTAGTGCATGGCAAGAAAAAAAAATTCTAATGCAAACCCTAAAAATAATTAATAACCTTCAACACAAAGACACAAGCACCACTATAGAATTTATTTTTACTTTATTAACAATGTGGCTTACAATTTGTTCAAGTAAAAAGGGTTTTTTAAATTTAGAATAAAAATTAAAATATAACTCTGATATAGATTTTCATTTATTTACATGAAAACATATATACAGAATACAATCTTACAGCAAACCAACAACATGCCCTTTGTCCTGCAAATCTCAAAAGTAAAAACACCAATTTTTCCCTTTTACATACCAAAACATACACAAGATATGAATCAAATTTCAATACAAACTGGAATGCAAAACAGTAAAAGGGCTTGAGACATTCACGACTATGGATATTTTATGCTTTCAGATATCATGCTAGCTCCCATTCTGAACAACCAATGAGATGATTATTTTTTTCCGTCATTTAAAAAATGTTGCCTGCAATTTCCCATCACAAGGTGATTTTCAGCAAACGTTTGTCCCAGAACTTGATGTTTTCTTCAATGCATCTCTTTGGCCCATGTGAAGCTCCACTCTGACTGGTGATGTGACAAGACCTACAGACACACTGGTACCAAATCCTTGCCATTTACAACAAAACCAGAAAGATGGAAAGTCTACAGCTCAGGACATTGCTTGAGTGATTACTGATCATCTAAACTAGAGGTGCTTTTAACCAAAACCCAAGGCAGTACCAGGTGTTAGCAATAACAGGTTTTAGGTAAATGAAATGGGTCAGAAATAGCACGATTCAATTTTATCACATCATGTTTTGAATACTTGTAAACCAACTCTACTGATAAAAGCTATGAGAATCAATTGACTTAAAAATTCAACCAAGTTAAAGGGAGTAAAGCAATTTCCAGAAAACTCCCAAACAGAAAAGAACAGTGAATAAATAAGAGAATCATTAAATTGTAATAGTTGCCAACATAGCTTTCCCTTATTATTTAGTTATTGCACCAGAGACATGGGCAGTATGTATTTTTCTCTCCAAGAATTTCTTCCTTAAAAATGACAGCTATCTTAATTTACTATTTTTCCCTTCAAATAATTATACACTCGATCACAGCTTTCTAAAGACAGAATAGAGTACGTGGATCCTAGATTCACCATCTTAACCAAAAGGCAAAAATGATGCTCAAACCACAACAAAGATTATAACACTACTGTTTCTATAGTTCTATATACAGAAATAAATATAATGGGCATTCTACAAAAGAAGTATGGAAACCCCTAGTACTTCCAAAATGAAGATAGAACAGCTCTTAGAAAGGGGTGTCTGGTGTAAGATAAAAGGGAAATCTCTGAACTTGCCTGATCCAACACTCAGGATTCTATGAGACAAATTAGGAAACTGAGACCAGTCTTCAAAGGCTGATCAAAATCCACTGTCTAGAGATTTTAGTAAGGGTCAGAGGTGGCAGTGTTAAAGGTTTGAGTCACTTTAATTTATTGAGGAACAAATCAAAGCAAACACAGGAAATAATCTTTCAAATATGATCAAATAAGGTAAAGCAACCTAATAGTTGTACAGCTCAAACACTGTAAGTCAAACTTTGATCAAATGCACCTAATTTTAAAAGTAATGGATGAGTTCTCCATGCTATGCAACTCTGTGGTGAAGGAAACTGGTCTTTGCTGGTGTTTTTTTTTTTTTTTGAAAAGCAAAGAGGTTGTTATGCCAGTCGTACCCTGTTTTTTTTTAGGTTTCCATGGTTATATTTTTGTGGATAGGGTATTTTTTCCAACACAGTACACATGAAGTCAGGAAGTTAGGAGCTGAAACAAGCTCCGTTAGGTTTTGGGTGGGATCAAGTGATGGACTCTCATTAAAGATGAGGTGGCATTTCTGTTTCCCAGGTTATAAACACATCCAGGTGGGAGAGTGCCTGCTAGGCCAGGAAGAACATGCTTCTCGGCCAGTTCCGGGAGGTAATGAGCTGTGTGGTGTGTGCAGGATCCAGGTATGGAGGACAGGACTTTGGTCCTAAACTATCATCAGAGACAGAGGAGAGACTGTAGCATCTGGGGGTGAAGGGAGGAGGGAGGGACATTGCTTATGGGAGTGTTTCAACCAAGGAGCGTTTGCTTTGGGGCTGTGATGGCACTGGGGGGCACAGGTGTAACATCAGCGTTTCCTGCCGTAAGAAACACAGCAATAACACAGTAAAATGTCCCTTGGAAATTGGCCCTATTTCTAAGACAGAAGCTGGTGATAGGTGAATCCTACATAGAGTGAATACCATCTTGCAATTCTGTTGCCGAATTGCTACTGGTGTCATCAGGGAAATCCCCCCAAAACGCCAAGTTCAGGAGGAGCTGGCAACACTCAGGCAAAAGCATTCTCTTGGTCCCAAAATGTGTGTTGGCTTTCAGAAGGGCGGGGAGATGGCACATGGATGACCTCCATGGCGGTCAGCCAGAGCTGGGCCTTCTCGGGCCCCTGGTGGCGACCCCCTCCTCACCACGCACACACAAAGCAGAAGCGGAGAGAGAGACTGAGGACGAGGACGGTTTCAGGCACCTGGCCTGCGGGGAGCAGGAAGCTTCCCACAGCCATGAGGCCGGGTCTTCCCCGGGGCTGCCCGGTGGGGGCCTTCCGGCTCCTGTGGGCAGATTCCAGAGACCTCCAGAAGATCTGCTTCCTCCGGTGTAGCACCTCCTTCTCTGTGCCATTCCTTGAAAGGGCATGAGAAGGTCACCTTCGTTCTGAAAGCACAATGTTATGCTGTAGCCACCTCATTCCTTCATTCCCATTTCAAATGCAACAGGAAAAGCTCAGCTTGCAAAGGCCACAGTGAAGGATGGTCAATGAGTCAGCGCACGGAGAAAGCCAGGATCTTGGAATGCGTGCCCTTTCCAATTGCTTGACAGAGTTTAACTCCACAAGGCTGAACATTTAAGGCCAAAAGCATGTGGCTGAGAAGAGAGACAGGCTGGAAGCTAAGTCCGTGTCACCGTGGACAGTCCACCGCTGGTGCCCGCCGGCGGTTTAGGACACCGGCCCTTCCATCAGCGGTCCCCCGGCAAATGCATTTGCCAGGCATTCAAAACTGGGCTGTAGAAATCAGCTACAGGGAGATGACAAAGTCTCCACTGCAAAATATGTGTTCTCCATTTTCATCCATCCCAGTCACAGAATGTTAATAAAGGTTAGCATTAGTAATCATACTTTTCCAAATCTGATGATCACGCCTTCAAAAGGTAGCAGGATTATGAGCAGCTAGTAAGCCCCCCACATGGTATTACTGGAATTGTTGAGACCCCGATCAAGGAGAAAAGATCGAGGTAACTACAGTGAAAACGGTAACCGAAAGGCATGCAGCCTGTGCTTTTTATGCCCATGCCTCAACTATCCGAAGGTTCGGCTTCCTTGCCTATGTTTGAAAAGGCATTCGGGCGACTGCTGTAACAATGTAACTGCCCACTGGGGCTTGAAGATGTATACTGGGTCACTCAGAGACATACACATACGCTTGGTACAAAAGACCAACCAGTGTTGACAGCTGCAGATCTTTCTGCAAATGACTTCACCTATTCAATGAAAATTGCCCAAAAAATGTCATAAGCAACCTGAAAGCCAGAGTGAGCCACAGGAATTATAGAGTTAAAAGCTGTGGTGACAGCCTTCTTGTTCATTCACTCTCTTTTCCTCATTTTGACCAACCTGGGCTCTTCCCTTAGAAGGGGCAGGGTGGAGACAGGGGAACGTGTGCTCACTGCTCCACTCCTGTGTTCCAATCTGTCACTTTGCAAGAATGAGGTCCAGAGTGACTCAGAGTCACCCACGGTCACAGAGTTTGTAATTTGCCACCCCAGGTAAGGACAGGGGCGACACCAGGGCCAGTGCTTGCTAGTCATTGAGCGAGCTGAGCTGAATGAGAAAGACGCTCACTGGGAATCTCTTTAGGATCCTGCCGCGGATCCTGCTAAGGGGGTGTAGCTGGTTTGTGAAAAGCTTCCCTCAACTCTCTTCTCATTCCTGCTCTCTGAAATTAAGCTTTTGCTTCAATACGCAACTCATCATTTCCCAAGAGACTACAGGAGCCCCTCCCTGGTCTGGTCACAGTTCAGTCAGAATGTTAGCGCTATTTGAGGTTCCATAAAAGAACCTGCAGAAAGAAGTCCTCTCTATAGACTTGCTAGACGTCCATCACTCAAGGAAACTGTCTCGCTGCAATGATACGTGGCCCTCCTTCACTCCCCGTGCTTCCCAAAGGCTCCTCTGACAGGCGATGCAGCTTCAGCTCATCTTTCTATCACTACATCCTGAAACATTGCCTACAGTTGTGTTTGAGAAATGAGTTGCCACCAAGATCAAACTGCGGTGACAGCCACATGAGTGCCGACGTGAAAGAAGCATCTCTAAATGTGCCTCAGGAGTAGAGCAGAAACTGCCAGACAGGCACCCCGGCTCAGTCACACTCACAAAGACATCCACTGCACCTTAGTTCTCAAGGTCCTTGGTTTAGGACCTTGTTCACAGGAAGCAGCCTGCTCTGGGGTGGGAGAAAGGCGAGATGTGGATATACAAAGAAACTGTTTCATATCCCGCATGGTCTGACACACAACTTTAATTTACACGCTCCGGAAGCCACTGCTGTGGTCCTGAGGTGTGCTTTAAAAACATGGAACTATGGGGCCGGCCAAGTGGCTCAGTCGGTTAAGAGCGAGCGAGCTCTGAGCAACAGCGGTTCGATTCCCGGCCCGAGCTGAGCTGCCAACAGGTGGCAGGATGACTCAGCTAAAAAACAAAACAAAACAAAACATGGAACTACGAAACAGGCTGGAGGATGGAGGAGGTCCTTCGTGCTTCTTGTTTTTCAGTGACAGTGTATGAACCATCTCACATCGCCCAGAAAAATCAGAGTTCAGTCCTGAAAGCTTCCCAGGCCGCTGCATCGCCCAGACCTGGGGGTAGAGTCAGTTGGCATACTGAGCGTAGAAAGCTACTTTGACTCTCTCGATCTGATGGCACAGCTTGATGGCGGGCCCCAGCTTCAGCTCCATGCACTCCTGCACCGTCGGGAGAGTCAGCAGCAGGAGTGCCTGGCCGTCGATGTCCTGCCGGAAAACAAAGTCAGGTTAGCTCCCAGTCAGCACCAAGGCAACGCATTCATCATGGCACCCTCCATCACGGGGCCTAGGGCATGAGAAGCTGCTCTCACTGCCTCTGATTCTGCCGAGCGCAGGCAGAGGGCAACTTGGCTTGATGGCAGTCTCATTTTTTGGTTTATCAATTCTCTTTGCTAAGAAAATTCTGGTTACTCTGAAATTCACATGCCTAGGCCAGTGGGGACAGAGAGCTGGAAGAGGTGGGCTGCTGCAGGAATTCTCTCCCAAGTTCACTGCCCCTGGCTGAGGGAGCACCCCGGACCCCCAGGCCCAGTCTTTTCACGCTCTGCTGTGACTTAACTTGAGCCCCCAGAAAAGGGTTCTCTACTAAAAGAAAGAGCACGCTCTCTTCTCTGTCAAGGTCTGACATCTCACCATCAGGATGGCTGAGAAGATGCTGGAGAGATACACTAGCTACACAGCAGTTTTCTAGAGGACAACACAGGTGTTTAGACACACGCACCCACACGGAAGCCCACCTGCATTCACACACCCACATCACCCAGAATGGAGTGCTGCCTGTACACAGGTCTACTCCCCTGCTTTGTCTTAGTCAGTCCTTCTGTGTCTGTAAACTGTAGAGGCCCCACAGAAAAGGTGTTTGTTAAATGATGGTTAAATTGCATGCACTGCAGGAAGAAGGGCACAAAGGTTCATCCCCAAACTTTAGGATCACCCCACTGGATAGCTTTGCCTCTTCACCAGCTTGCGTCCTGTAATAATCGGGTTTACTGATGTGGCTACTGTTTGACTGGGTAGCTGAGTGGAACCACAACCCCTCTCCCTATCCACCAGGACATGCTTCACATTCCGGAGGGAATAACTGAGGCTCCAAGAGACCACAGGCCCAAGGGAATGACAAAGGTCAGTGGTAAATGAGGGCATAAAGGAACTCAGCACCCCGGAATTTCTGCCACCTGGGGAAGCAGTGCTGGGCTGCCCGAAGCTGCAAAGACTTACTTCTCATGCAACCACATGCAAGCATGAATCTCATACTTCATGCACACATGCCTTATTTTCTTAAACCAATGGTTTATTTAGCTTTATTTGTCTTGAAAATATCTACAGCTAAGAACAAAACTGTGTGTAAATGTTAGCCTTAGAAAGCCTAATGTTGAGAGTAAGCATAATTTATCTTATGATCAGTTTAAAAGCCATCTTGATGTGCTCATAGTCGCTAGTAAGTATGGCAGCAATGCAAATTAAGTATTAACTGAACAAGTAACAATGCAAGTGCAATTTACTATTTTGAATTACAGACGAGCACTAGCCATGATGCATGCAACAATAAGCCATGTTTCAACCAAGACTCAGTTTTGACTTTCTCAAACCACAAATTACACACATCAGTCTTGAATACACACTGAAAGTAGGAGATAAACTAATTAAAACTGTCAATGTGGGGCCAGCTGAGTGACTCAGTTGGTTACGAGTTAGCTTAAGAGCGCGAGCTCTGAGCAACAGGGCCACCGATTTGATTCCCACATGGGCCAGTGATGCTGCGCCCTAGCTGAGCAGCCGCTGAGCTGCCAACGGGTGGCAGGATGGCTCAGCTGGTGAGAGCACATGCTCCTAACAAGACTGTTCCATGGTGGGCTACGCCTGCCCGTAACTAAGACTGAACTTGGTAACTAGAGCTGAGCTGCCACCCGGAAGGCTCAGGGGATAGAGCAGGCACTCTTAACAACAAGGCTGCTGGGTTTGACTCCTGCATGGGATAGTGGCTATGCTCACCTGCAACTAAAACTGAACTTGGCACCTTGAACAGAGCTGCCACCTGGATGGCTCAGTGGATACAGTGCACGCTCTTAACAACAAGGCTGCTGAGTTTGACTCCCACATGAGATGGTGGCTACGCCCACCAGCAACTAAGATTGGAACACAGCACCTTGAGCTTAGAGGCCACGCACTGTCAATGGGCAGCCAGATGGCGACTGGCGCCCTGCACAACTAAGGTTGAAGAACAACAACTTGGCTGGTCCCCCTCCCCAATTCCCCAACACTGTTGCCTTCCCCCAATTCTCCAATTAAAAAAATAAATTAAAAACAAAAAAACCAAAAAAACAAAAACCTGTCAATGTATTCTTGATTCTATATTTACATCATTTTTTTCTATAGTGTGTTTCCATATTATTTTACTTGCCTTTCAGATGCTACTTATTAGGCTGGTTGTAATAAGGGGAATTGAAAGTACTGAGAAACAGTTTTTTATTCAGGTCATGAAGCAAACAATGGGACCCACTGGCCTAGAACCTGTTAGCCAACTCCACTTTCAGGGCCAAAGCCACATATACTGCAGCAGAAATGGACAGAGAGGCCACAGACCCAGGAATACCAAGTCTTTTAAGCATCACAAACCTCACAGAAATACACTGTAAGTAGGAAGAGGACTGATGTTATTAAACTATGTGCAAGGGGCTTTGCCGTCTGGCTCAATGAAACCAACAAGTACAAGATAGACTAGAACTGAAACTTATTTTTGGAGATGGAAACTTTTTGTTAAAGATGGAAATTGATGCCAGAAAAGCTAGCTGATCCAACTAAGATCATATAGCTAGTTAGAGACAACACTGGAACTAGAATTGTGGTTTTCTGATATTAAACTTTGGGGGAGAAATTATAGCTCAGCTTTTGACATCTGCACTTAAGTCATGATGGCCACCTTGGGATACACAGAATCAATTACAATGGAAAATCAGCCCTAATACACACACACTCCCTACAGGCAATTTCAGTAAAGGGAACTGCCATTTGCATGCATCACATTCAAATGGAAGATGTCATTTATTTAATCAACAAGCATTTACTGAGCACCTACTAAGTGCCAGGCACTCTCAGGATCTCTGGGAATATCACATCAAACAAAAAGAAGATTCCACCCCAGAAGACGCTACAGATCTCAAGGGAGGCAGACAAATAACCAGACCATTAACAATACAGGGAGATTAATGTATGGGCTAATTAAGCTACAGGCGCAAACAGAACAGGCAACTGAACCAATTTCACAGGAGTCAAGGCAGGCTTCAGAGATTAGGTGATGCCTAAACTGAGACCTAAGGGACCAGTGGGAATTATTAAATTAATAATTCCCTCATCAGGAATCAGGGAAAAGCAAATTAGACCTGCGATACAATATAATTTTATACCCACAAAAATTAAGGTCTGACAATAATTCTAAGTGTTGACACAGAAGAGTACCATACAGGGAACCCCCTACACTACTATGGAAAGGCACACTGATATACTGCTCTGGAAAACATTTTGGCATCCCTTCGTGAAAGTATGTAAGAGAAAATCGAACAAGAGCACAGTAAACACAAAATTCAGAATAGTTTTTCTGGCTGGTGGACATCAAGGAGTGTGCGCCTAAAGTTTATCAGAGGTCTCAGTTTTGAGGCCACGGTTGGGGGATGGGGGCTAGTTCACCCGAATTTCGAGTGTGGGAAACCTGGAACGAATGGAGCTCAGCCCATTTTTAAGCCTTTCCTCCTAGGAGCTGGTTTAACGTGGCTCGTGGGCCTCATGGTGCCCACACAGAAGCCCCTGCACATCTGGGGCTAACAGAACTGCGAAGACACACAAGCTGAACTGTGTGTGCAGAGAAAGTCCTGTTTGCACAAAGATGAAGATTACGGGGTGGGGGTGGATTATGGCTCAGCTGTCTTGATTCATTATGGAGGTCTTTCACCCCGCTTTTTATCTGGGAAGAACTGACAGCAGCTGGGCCTGATATCTGAAATGGGGTGAGTGGTAGGCATGTAGTTTGTCTGTACTCAGCCACCTCAGAGCCTCCGGCTGTCACTCTGGGTTTTCACCTCATTTTCCATCCTCCCTGATGATATAAGACAGAATTACAGTGTTCTTATTTTGAGAAGAATACACTAACAAGAATAAAATCAGGCCTCTGATTTCCAAACACCAAAGTGTCATGCTGCCTGTGGAAAGGTACTAGAAGTAGCAACGTGACCATAAGATTGATTGTCAGTGGTGTGCGAGAACAGTGGTGGTGGCTCTGTGACGTCAAACATGGTTGACCAACAAGTCTGTCCCAACTCTCATTCATGCTGCAGACTACATGAACACAACATCCACTCCACATAACACAGGGAGCGGGAGAGAGAGAGATGGAAGCAAAATCAGGCAAAATAATAATACACACAAGGATACTGCGAGGAGTCAGGAATGATGGGGAAACTCACCTTGCAATCCCTCTCTTATGTAGCTTCTGTTCTGGCTTGAATGAAGTTTTTTGCCTTTCTGTCTTTAATTATGTAGTAACAGACGTAACAGTTAATTTAATTTTTGTAAACATGTTGTCATATAATTCAGTATTGCTAGCAAATCACTTGCTATGTTCAATACAGAATTACCATAAATGGACTACTAATTTTTAGTGAATGGAATATAATAAAATATACAACATGAAAGTTATGCTTAGCATTTGGTAAAATTAAATTTATTTTGCTGTAGAGGTCAGTACAGGACTTGGCAGTTCCTTAATGGGGAGATTAGAGTCTATAGAAGCAGAAAGAAGAGAGAATAGTCTAAATGTGAACTAAACCTGGAAACTATCCTGAAATTATTATTTTTTTATTGAAGTAAATCACTAATTAAGGTACATTGCGTATCATGTCTCTGATTCATAAAAGGTGAATGAATAGGCAAAATTTTACTTGAGACTTTTGTTTGTGTGGAATTTTACTGGAAAAGGCCCATGTTTGCAGCATGAAATTATAGAGTACAGCTTTTTTGAGCAGTTGCCATAACGTTTCAGAATTAAAAGGCATGCATTCCAGTAATGGGAAACTTATGGTTCTTGTAAATGTTCCTGGTGGCTATGAGCCTCTGAGCTTACAACAAACATCAACTCAGACAGCTCCTACCTCCCTGCCCCGTGGATTCTCGCATCCGCTGGTGAATAAAGACCCTGGGCTCCTTCTGGTTCATCTAAAAACTCGCACTGCACCTGCAGTGACCCACTGGAGGCCTCATCAGTCATGGCCATGGCATTTGGACTCAAAGATGACAGAACAAATTAGTAATTACAGGTCTGATTGAACGGGAAAGGACTCAAGGGCCCACACATCTAGATAGCCTAATGGGCATCTATCTGCCTCTTAGTGCAACAGGTGAAATAGCCGAATATGAAATTTAAAATTAAACAGGGATAAGGCTATTCTCATTTAAAGTCTACCTATTTTTCTCTCTACGTGAGAAATTAGTAGGTATGTAGGACTAAACCTTTAACTGACATGAGAAGAGCAACTGAAGGGAGCGCCCTGCCCATGCATGGCTTCCATGCCTGGAACACTTCACTTCTTAGAAGCCATCACTTGGGAAGGCGTGAAACTTTCTGAGATGTTGTTATAAGCTGGGCTAAGAAGTACAATTAAAGAAGACTTAGTATAAGTAGTGTTTCAGCCTTTTCCCCAAATCAGCTTTGTTTTCACTTTCTTGCTTATTACTAGAAACTTGTAGAAGGAATCAAAACAGCAGCCTATTATTAGCCTTTCACAGTGCAAGTCGTCGTGCGCTCCCCCAGACAGTCTGACATCCAGGCGGGAGACGCTCTGTTCTGTTCTGTGACAGGACCAACTAAAAAACATTTCTCCATTAAAACTGGGAATTTGAGTCTAAAACCAAAATAGAACAGAAACAAGCTTTTAGACTAACCTAGGATGCTACCTTCCACATCTGCCTTTTGACTGTTGGAAGGTCCAAATAGACGCCCCATCAGTGTATGGTGAGTGTACACGTGGATGAATAGATACGTCACACTGTGTCATCACCATGTGTCCTGTATTCAAATGCAATGCTTTTTGGCATCGCCACTGTTAATAAACACCAACTTGGAAAAATGCTCTATTAGGCAGTGCATTAAGCAAGATTTCAAAGTTCTGCTGTATTTCTGTTCTCAAGACAGAGATGCTCCAAATCACATAAGTCCTCACATTTCTTACAATTCTCTTTCTTTTCTGTTGGTGTGTTTCAGATGAAGAGACGTGTTCGCTACCCAGGTTCCTTAAGGCAAATGTAGCGTTTTCCTATGCGTCTGCTTCTCAGTGGTGCCCAGAGAGGAGGTGCAGCTGGTGTCAGACAGCAGGGAGGCGGCCTTATCCCTCTCACCACCACTCCTTCACTCCGAGTGCATTTACTGGGTGTCTACAGGAGATTCCAGTGGGTGATTGGAGGAGACCTTTGAATGTTAAGAACTACTCTCCCCTGGGAGGAGCTGGGAACCGTATTGATTTGCTTTTTACAATTCATTGCTGCATGATGGTGAACTTGGGAGAGAATCTGGGAAACTCACTGGGAGCATGGGAAATCACAGGCCTTTCTTTTTTTCTTCTTCCTGATTTATTGCTTGAATTACCCTCTTTCTAGACTACTAGTTTGTGTAATCTAAAAAAAGCCTGGATAGACATTATTTTTAATTTATACAGGAAACAGCATGTTTGTTTTGTTTTTTTAAATACAAGGTCATTGAGAGACAGAAATTTATAGTATGAGACAATGCAAGAAATTTCAACAAATTAAACAAACATAGTAGAGTACAAGTCATAGGCTTAAACTTGAACTTTTTATGCGAGGCCAGTGAGAAGTGTGCAAGGTGTTTAGAGAGTAACAATTTGTTTGCATGTTAACTTAAGGGAAAATGAAAAAAAAGTCCTCCTTTCTTAGGACACATTATGGCATGTCTTGAATTTTAGCTAATTACAGTTATTTCATCTGCTCGATTAGAAATTCTTTTAAGGTATAGATTATATCAATTGTTTTTGTACTTATTCATTATACATACCATAGACTTTAACACATTTTACAAAGAAAGCAGGGAAGAAAGGAAGAAAACAGTGATGAAAGCATTACATACAACACAACGGACACAGGGCTTCCCCTTCTGGGAAGAGCGAGGGGACACGCTTTTCCGTTTGTCCTGCTAAGTGTATCTGAAAGCCTTGGTCATTATAAACAAAGCAAACATATGAAGACTCTGAAAGGTGAAAAGAAGGCAGACCATCACCTGGGACTGTGGCGCCCAGATATGACATGGTGGAGAGTGGTCTGGGTTTTCTGTTTATTTGCTTGCCTCCTATACCCAAGATTTATTCCTAAAGAAGCAGGCAACTGAGAAGTGCCAATGGGCACGATGACAAGAGGCCCGGCAGAGGCGTGACCTCTCTAGGCTAAGGATCGAGAAAGGGGTAGCCCAGGGAGACAAAACCTTTCAGACAATGACTGTTCCACTGCAGGACAAAGCAGCCCACCCACCCACGCCAGCAGAGGCTGAAAGAGGGTCCCTGACTTCCAGCCTGGCCAGGTGGCCTCAGGCCCTCCAGCCCCCAGAAGGCTGTTTCTGAGAAGGCCAAGTGGAGAGCCTGTACTTCCATCTCCACTTAACAGCCAAGAGCCCCCCAAGGAGGGTTAGGTAGAGACCACATGTGGACTTTCACCCCCTACCCACAGAAGTAACGAAGAAGTGCCCCTTCCCCTGCCACAGCCATGCCACAGAAAGTCACTAACAGAAGGTTTGAGAGCCAGAGTCTCATAATAAAATCAGCAAGCACTCCACAGAAACACCGTACCTGTTCCTGAAATATTTTGGCCAAAGGGGCGCAGTCCGTCAGTTTAATGAACCTCACCACGTCGGTCACCGTCCACTCCAGAGGGTTGCTCTCCAGAACCAGCCTCTCCCCCTCCTCCTGCTTTACTTCCTGCAGAGGGAAGGGGGCAGGCACTCATTTTATCACCGGGTGGTGGGCGGGATCCTCTCTAACACCCTGTGGGCCTGAGCCAGACTTCCGGGATCCAGAGGGGCCTCTGCCCGGCGGTCTCCCAGGAGGCACCTGGACAAGCCACAGAGACTTGGATCTCTAGGGACTTTCTTAGCAACTCGTCTGGGGTTAGGACTTTGCTCCAATAACTTGTGCACCTTTAGAGGTAAACAAAACAACAAGGCACAGTGATTGCAGCTGTTGAAGTTCGGGAAACTTCATGTCTGCTTATTAATGATGCATCTCTGACTGAAGAGGGGATATGAATGATGAGTGGCATATGCAAATGTGTGCAAGACAGCCAGCTAGTCCCCCCATTCCTTCATGTATTGCCTTTGTTCATTTATTCATCGAAATCTTATCTAGCACTTAAAAAAAATTTCAATTATAGATGACAGTATTATTTTATATTAGTTTCAGGTGTACAGTGTAGTGTTCAGACATATAATTTGCGAAGCAAGTCCCCTGGTTAGTCTGGTACCCACCTGGAACCCCCATTTATTTTTGTGACGATGGTGCCAATGACCTTTCAGCTGATCACATGGCACCTGTGGGTTTGGGGAAGCCCTGATGACATCACCAAGCTTTCTGTCCCTGACTCAGAAACTAAGCTGCAGCAGCTGCTACTGACTTTAGTATTTTAAACAGCTGTCTCAAAATCTAGGCTGTGAACTATGTTTTCTTCTTCATCACTCTGCCCACACAAGCCAGCTCCAGGGCCCAAGCACTTTACCTCTGCTGTCTCCTGGCCGGCTGCCAGACCTTTGTCACCGCCCTCAGCACAGGAGGTGGCCGGCACTCTACGAGCCCGTCTTGCCCTCTCCACGGGCGGCCGGCGCTCCTGCTCAGAGCTGCTCCGCAGGGTGACAGCCCTCCGGGGCCGGGCAGAGGGCACCTCGGCCGAAGAGGTGTCTGTCTGGTCATCCCGGACCTCGGAGCCTGTTTCTTCACTCCCAGTGTCATCGTCCATGGCATCTGCATCCTCCTCTTCACTTTCCTACAAAGGATTGAAATGTACTGAGTTAGGTGAAAGGGGGCCTTTGTAAATGCAATAGGCTGGCTTGAATCCTAGTCCTTTCCTGCCCAGATGGCCCTGTGCAAACCACTCGGTGAGGCCTCTGAGGATGAATCCAATAGTCCCAACCAAGGTCTGTCCACCCAATCGCAACCCTTCCTGAGCTAGGGCAGCTGACAGTTAACTCTGTTTTCAACAAATGAGGAGAAAGGTTGCTGGTATGTCATGCTTCTAACCATCAAACTTTCATTGCAGCCTTCACAATTAAGCTGGCACATGACCCTGCATCCTAGTGGACTGCTGGGAGGCGCTTTGGGTAGAACGTACCTCCCCCGAGCCTGCGGCAAAGTCCACGGTAGAAGACCTCCGTTTCTTCTGCACAAAAATGGATTTTCGCCGTTTCCTACGCCTGGCTGGTTTAGGGGGTCCACTTTCAATGTTGCTTTCCCCAATTGGGGGCTTAATGATCTTCTTTCTCTTTCCATAATAATAGGCTACAAGAAGAGAGAGAATTAAAAGCTTGTTTTAAAGGCTACACACATGTACCTACGTGGACAGAAACATGAGAAAGAGGGGTGAGATTCTCGCGATTCCTCAGTGAGTGACCGTATGTGCAGAATGAAATGGGGAGAGATATGTTATGTATATAAAAAAGAAGGAAATTCACACTCTGACTAGTGTTTCACATATGTTCAGATTCCTGGTTCTGACACATAAGTTGACAACTCCCAACTGGTGGGGGCTCACAGAGCACTGTTCGCACTCGTGGGTCCTGGTGACACCCTAGCAGTGGCTGGAACATGGGCTGCTGGCAGAGCAAACTTCCAGGTCACTGTGACAGGGATGTGGTCACCCCTTGGATGAGAAATAAATGGGGGAAAACGTAGAAAGAACAGAAGCCAGGGTCAGAGAGAAATCTCAAAGCTTGTGCTACCCGTGGTGCAGGTGTCTGGTAGTGGCTGATGCTCAGGGATGAACCCAAAACAGAGGCAGGACAAGGCCAATGAGAAGGCAGAGGTCACCGACCTCTGACGGGAGATGTAAGAGGCACGTGCTAAGAGGGGACATCCTGCCAGGAAGAGGTCTGAGCAAAGGCGGGGTGGGCCATGGTAGCAACTCTGAGTTCATGCCATGGGGCAGAAGCAGAGACCGTCAAGAGCAAAGCAAATGGGGAAAGTACTCCACTTGAGAGAGTTCTGAGGAAAGGGGCACACATGGTAAGAAGCAGATTATGACAAGGAGGTGGCCCCGTGTCAAGGAGGGCAATGAAAGACTTGGTATAATTTCTCAGTGTTAAAAAACCAACAAAGTAATTCTGGTTTCGAGCCATACCAATAATCAATTTTATTGTGCTCTCCTTCCAGCTATATATAGTTTTCGAAACCAACCAATCCACTGAAATTCATGACAGCGTACACATTTCTTCTTTGCCAACACCTACCAATGATAATCGTCCTGATTTTAATCATCCCCATCCCTTCCTCACACAGGCCAGAAACACGGAAGGATCTACCACAGGAAATTGTAAATTCCATAGCAATTCCTATGAAAAACTATTCACAAGTTTATAAAAACAAAACAAAACAAAAAAACCCAAAACACCAACTACATAACCCTGCAGTTTATGCCTATGGACCTGTGTTCTTTCATTATTTCTACTCACTGTATTTGGTTTTGGTATGAATGGAGCAGTTTTCTGGGCAGTTTTCAGAAACCAGCACAGGACTGAACAAATTTGGACAGCATTCCAGCTTGGCACAAACCCGTCGGCAGAAATCCGCGACTTGGTCTGATGTTCGTACGATCTTGGCCACGGCCCTGTACGTTTTGCCTCTGTACCTAGGAAGAAGTAAGGAAAAGCAAGGGCAAGACCACATAATTACTCCCACCTGTGTTGTATCTGGTATTCCAAAAGTAGCCCCTTTATTTTCTAACAATAAAGCTGGCTGCATGGGTTTTCCATGTCATTTGTTTTTATTGTTCTTTATGCTCTCACAAAATATTTTTGAGAAATGTCCAATATCATGCACAATATACGTGAGGGCAGTGCTAAGACAGAATCACCACAATAAAGATTTCCATTTAGCATATTCTCATTGGGGCATATGTAACGTAACACCAATTCCGGATGCTTCTGGAATCTAGATATCGTCAATTGTTGCTCATCGCTTTTGAGAAAAAAATTTTCTCCTACCCAAGAGAAGTGATATGCAGTGAAGTCACTAACATGAAACTAGAAGCCAGGCCTTCCAGCAAGCAGGCTGGCTTCTTGTTTTAAACCTACGTCCTGCAGCCCTCATCCAAATACTCATGGCAATAATGGTGTAAGTAATGCCCGCTGAGAAGATGAGCACTTGGACATAGGTTTGAATCACCTTTCAATACATTTTAAAAACTACCACTGGTACAAAATAATTATAAATGTTCCACTGGCAACAGATCATAGGCCTTTCTTTTTAGTTCACATCTCACTAAACTTAAGAGTCCACTGAAATGAGAACGCATCAATATAATGGGGCCTATTAAACTATGGCCTTGATGTGTATACCAATCTTCAAGGTGAAATCTCAAGTAATTTACTTTCCATCACATAACATGTGGGGGGAGCTCTAGCAGAGCACACCCGTGTTAGATCTGGGAAGCTAACCGAAACCCAGAGGCATGAGGTAGCAAGGAAAGCCAGCTAGTTAGGTGATGACGTGGCCTCTTCGCCAACCTGCTCACACACTTGCTCATATATTCAGGTCCCCAACAGTCCTCCACAAGGCACAAGGGGGACATCAGGCAATTCGTGCAAATAGGCATATAATGTAAGGAGGTCACCACTTTTGTAACTTGCAAAATGAGACATTAAGTTCAAAACCTAGGTCTGGTTCACAAGGAAAAACGCGGTGATGAAAATAAATAGGATAATAAACTAACTGCTCCTGAGTTTATTGTAACTGATTTTTTTTTCCTGTCTTTATGAAGACTAGTTAACTATTTCCCGCCAAAAAAATAATTTTTTAAAGTACCAACAGCAAAAAAAATTAAATTCTAACTTGGAAAAATCAGGCTTTATGTTCATTAACTGGTCGTTCACACTCCAGTCCCTCCGTCTTCCTTGTTCTTCAATTTCTTGGAACAGCCAGGCTTGACTTTCAGTGTAGTAAGAACTAAAGAGCAACTCTTTGTAGATAAGGTCATGCTCTAGGGCCGACAGCCTTGGATGACCGCTGATTTTTCTAGGATCTGTATCATCCCTACATGTAGAAACGCCCGCTGCCCCTGAGAAGGAGACCGCCTGACTCACCTTTGGGTGGCATATGCTTACTGCTTCTGCTGTGTTTCATAATAAACACAGCACACCTCTGTGGACATAGCACATTGCTAATGTCGGGGGAAACGTAGAATAAAAATACAGTTTTACTGTACATTTTCCCTTGCATTTTTTTGCTACCACAATTTCGATGTTCCTGGAACTCTCTCTTTTAAAGAGCTCAATATCAAGGTTCTTAAAGTCCCTTTAAAAAAGTAAAATAACAGAAGGTAAAAAAGCAAGAGAAACATGAAAATTGTGTCAGAATTCAAACTGTAGAAGTAGGGCCCAAAGACAGATATTTCTGTTCCCAGACTTCCAAATTCCCAAGCAGGCACTTCCAGAAACATATGAGAGGTGTGTAAGGAGAAAGAGAAATTCCATGGGAAATGGAAAAAATGTGGCTTTTTACTCCCTTCTAGCATGGGATGATTCGATGGAAGCAAGTGTTTCAGTGAACCCTTTCACAATTAGGAAAAGCCAATCTAAATTTACGAAAATGGAATTTTAACATGGTTTAAAAGTAACGGATCTTCTTCCCTGCCCTTCTGGAACAATTCTGTCTAGAAGCCATGATGGTGGTCGTGAGGGTGGGGGTACTGGGCAAGGCGGGTGTGCAGGCTGGGGAGGTAAGGCGGGACCCGCAGCGTGTCGACACAGGGCCCTTCGGGTTTGCCCCAGCTACCAAAGCTGCCATGCCCTCTCCCTTCTGTGAGGACAGCCCCCATGTAATAGCTAATTGTGGCGGGGGCGGAAAGGCCTGGCCACCTAGGCCCAACTCAGGACAACCATGGAGGGCTGTTCAACGCCAGAGCTGCCCAGGAGCTCCAGCCGATCCCTCCCCCGGCCCAATCCACTGCCTTCCTTGTCTGTCCCAAGGGCCCTCCTTAATTACACCCCATCTGGAAGGATCCAGACCTAAGGCAGGTGAGGATGGGCAGCGTGGCGGCATGCTGTGCAGGGTGGGGAGGACGTCTGTATGTGGGGGACAGCCGGACAGGGGTTGGGTGCAAAGGCCTGGCACTGAGAGTTGGCACCCGAGTGAGGGGTGAGGACAGGAACACAATGATAAGAGACTGGTGCCAACCCCAGAGCCTGATCAAATAAACAAACATACTGAAGACAGCGTAAGCCAGGTTTCCCACTTGTGTTTGGGGAGATGGGGTATTATGCCAACAGCTTATTCTCAAATCGATCAGGACAAAGAATAGTCCCTTTATTCTATACTTGCAATATTTCTGTAATTTTGAGATTGCTTCAAAATAGACATTTAAAAAAGAAATAATACAAATAAATTTTGTTGTATTATGTAATGACAAACTACAGTAAGCTTAATATATATTTTCCATCAAATGCATGTTTCAAGTGCTACTGTTTTAGTACAGGCATCATTTCTAGTTGTTGCTGTACATGTGGAGAAAACACTGTTTGGAACATCTAATTCCAGCCTTAACTAATAATCTGGCTTGTTTTGGAGTTGGCCAAAAAATTAGGACAATTGTTTAAATAGCCTTTTTTTTTTTTTTAACGAAGACGTACGAAACAGATAAATATTGGCTTACCAAGATACACAGCCAAAAGGCAGCTCTAAGATTCTGCCCCCAGGTTGGGGTTGGCTTTCCCCAGCACCAAAAGCTTAAAAACTGTATTCCAGTGACATAATGCTGTAAGGCGGGATATGTGAGGAGACCAGCTCCAAAGCATGGGTCAATGCCCTTCACTTTATCCTCTCATTGTAAATCCGGAGGGAAAACGCTCAGCCATATCATTTATAAAACGGCCTAGCAAGGCTACTGTAAACATGAAGATAAGGTTTTTAAAGCACATATTACAAGTTTCACGAGGAAAATATCGAGAGAGGCAAAAAAGGCAGTCCACAGCAGAAAATTCCTTGGCATTATAAATAATCTAGGGAGGAAGGAAAGAAGGAAGGAAGGAAGGAAGGAAGGAAGGAAGGAAGGAAGGAAGGAAGGAAGGAAAGGAAAAAGGAAGTAGAAGATCACTGGGTTGGAGCACGAAGATGGTCTGAGATGACACCAGCCTCAGAGGCATACCTGGACACAGTTCAGGAGGCTGGAGGACCACTGAGGACACAGGAGGAATACTCTCCCTGGCTGTCACTTTGGGGACCCACTCAGAGCTGATATGAAGATTATTTTAAGATGAAGACATTTGAGATTCAACAGGTGCAGAAAGAAGCTTCCTCAGAGCTTCCATTATCTGATGAAAATCAGAAACTTTTGAGAGTGAGGGCTGCCATAAACTCCCTCTTGGAGGTGGCTTCTAATCCCAGGAAAGACCAAGAGTAAACCTACCATAAATCCCCTCTCGGAGGAGTTTCATGGCCAAGACAGAAAGAACACCGGCACCCGCACACGCTTCCTTATCTCCCATTTGTTCTTCTAGAAATCCATTTGTCTTTCCTATAGAAACCTCTGTTCTCCCACTAGAGGCCTTTTCTCCACACTCCTTCCCCGTACTAAGTTAGATATAACTTAGGTATAAGCTCCAAACCCTAACTGTCCTGTGTTACCATCGCGGGCCTTCCTGTGTGTATATTCATGGCACCTATAAGTAAACTGTCTTTTTTCTTGCTAACCTGTCTTCTGCTAGTTTAATTTTCAGACTCCCAGGTACTGCACATAAGAGGGTGGAGAAAAGGTTTTTTCGCCCTTGACATCAATAAGGAAGTGTGAGTGGCCTTCCAATATCTTCTGACCAACCAGAGTAGGGATTTATTTCTACTGAGTGCATACGACAGGGTGGAAAAGACAGATGAAGATGGAGAGACAAGAGTGCTTGAAAACATGGTTTCTTCTCTCTAAGTAAAAGTAGAGAAAAATCAAAATGGATTTTGAGTCCAAAAGAAATACAGAGTGAAAAAAACCAACACTGGCGTCAGGATCCATTCATAACCATCAGCATGGCCTAAGTGCTATCATTCGTCTTCAAAATGACCCATATCAGGACCTTGTCAGAGAGCCTTAGTAGGCAGGGAGAGGGGAGAGAGAATGGACAGCAAGAAGGTTCCAGTCCGTTAAGCTGAATTCACACCTTCATATATCAGAGGAAGAATTAAAAGGGAAGACAGGTGGTAACCCTGATAACTGACTACAGAAAAAAGGATGCTTCACGTGCTGTGAGAAAATCAACTCTACCCTTTAGTGACAACAAGATATGGCTCTGATTTCCTTCAAAAACTGCATTGGTCCCATCTTCAGGGTTAAGGTCCATACGTTGGTTTGCTGGTTTTCAGTCCTATGGTACTCAGCCCCTCAGAAGTTTCTCTCTTCTTTCTTGATTCCTGCATTTCAAGCAATGGGAATGTGTGCACGAGAGGGGTATGTGTTTGCTTTAGGAAAGGCCTTGTCTAATTCAGAACATCCTGAACTGGCCTGTGTTTGAACTAGAAACGCCACACCCATAATCCGCTGAAGTGCACATGGAAATTCAGCCTGTTCTTCCTTCACAAACTGGTCCACCTTCCTGCTTCAGGTAATGATTACAGTGCATATTTTCAGGAGGGAAAAAAAAATCACATAAATCTGAGCAAGGTAAAAAAGAAAAATCAACAAATGAAGAAAAACCTTGTTCAGTGAAAAGTCTCTCAGTCTGGGAATCCTTTTTCACATAAATCTCCTTAAGGCCAAAAATATTACATCTTACTGTTCACAAAATACGGGCACAAATAAAAGGCCCCAAAAAGTGAATTAAATAAAAACACATTCAAAATTAGTCTCTGCTTATGAAAAATAAGTAACCCAAATATCTACTCCATAGAGCTGAGCATAACTCACCTAAAAGCAGATTTGCCTTTATCTCTTCATTCCTGCCTACCTGATAATAAAGTCTAATTCACTCGAAATTATATCAGGATATTTCCTCTTCAAATATTCTGAATAACTGTAACAAATGACTAGGAATATCTATTAAGCCTCTGCCTGGCTTTTATAAAGATTATCACAAAAGCCATTTACAGAAAAGCCTTTTTATTTCCCCTCAAGAAGGCTCTATAACATGTTGGAAAACATATTTAAATGTCTCTAGATGCACTGAGCTGGAATTTTTTTTTTTATTACCCCTAAGATATAGCCTAAATTCCTCCTCCAGAAAGTTGTAATAATGTAGGTCAGTTTAGTACACATAAATTCATCGGAAAGAAAGAATTTTCTCTTTCAGAGCAGCTGAAATGAACTATTAGAATCCATTTTTTATTTCGCACTAGTTTTGCCTTTCAATACATGTAAAGACTCATCATATGTTAACGCAACGTGTTTTAGTAGAAAAGGTATGGTTGCTGGATAAATAGAAAAAAAACATCATGGAGGGACAACTGCAGGTGACAGTGTTAGTTTTTCTTCTATCCAGGTCAAGCCTTTTCAATGGCACCTCCAGCCTCTCAAGTAAATAGGTCTTTACTCTTTAGGGCAGCGGTTCTCAACCTGTGGGTCGCGACCCCTTTGGGGGTTGAACGACCCTTTCACAGGGGCCGCCTAAGACCATCGGAAAACAAAAAGATATTTACATTATGATTCATAACAGTAGCAAAATTACAGTTATAGAGTAGCAACGAAAATAATTTTATGGTTGGGGGTCACCACAACATGAGGAACTGTATTAAGGGGTCATGGCATTAGGAAGGTTGAGAACCGCTGCTTTAGGGGAAGAGAAAAGCATCGGAACCCCCAGATGCTTGGTGACAGTGCTCACAAAGCCCCATGGAGGAGCGCATGCCCTTTCTTCCTGAAAACACTCTTTGGAATATTAAAATTCCGCGACCACAACCAAGGCGACTGAACGCCTTCAATGCAGGTCTCTCTTGGCTAAGTTAATTTATTCATGACCGAAACCATGTCAGCCTTTCAGCCAAATGGGCAGACGCCAGCTCTCTCCCCTCCCATTTGCACCAAAGAAATAGCACTGTTGTCAAGATCTAAAACGTTGTCGTTTTACATCAGAAGGAAAGAGGTGACTCAACACGCGGTGTGAGGACAGGCAGGCTCCGGCTGACTGTGTGTCTGTCATGGTTAGCAGCTGCTCTGAGACACCACTGTGATCCTGCACAACTGAAACCCAGTTCCGACACACATTTTCTCCTAAGCTGCTGTGTCAGATTTTGCTGAGGAACTCATTGTCGTATTTGATACAGCCGGTACTTCGATGCCTTTACAATACAGCAGGGCTGGATCTCACTGAGTCTGTTCAGATTGTATCAGGCTGGATTTAATAAAGGCTCTGAACGGCTTGTTAACATGAAAATGAGTGCAAACATTGCAAAATGAATGCTCCCTGTCATTTTGGTATCTGGAGCAAGTTTCTGGCTTACTTAGGAGCAGGGGAGATTTTAGTTGAATTTCAGTTTTTTGTACTTTTACTATTTCCATGTCTGTTAGGTGTATTTTGGATGTACCGAATATTACAGAAAAAGTTTAAAACAAGAATTCAGAAGAATTTCTCTGTATAAATGCTTGCTCAGGATTTCTGCCACCACTGCTATGATGAACTGACATTACAATAAAGTGTTTTACGATTGCAGATATCTTCTCCTTAGGTAAAGTAGAAAATTAGAATATTAGGTTGGAAAAAAAAACTTTTTAATTGTTTCTGAAGCTCATTTAAATATTTCTTGGGAAGGAGGGGAGGGATGGGATATGGTGCCACCTTTCACTGACATGCCACCGCATGCAAATATTTTCCTTATTTACATATATTTCCTTTAACTTTTGTGATTTGGTGGAGTATCGATAGACCACAAATGACTTTTACTGAATCAAAAATTATAGAGATGTTCAAAAAAGACACTAGGAAACGCTTAGTGGATAACTGACAATGAATGTTGAATAACAGCACAACATCTCAACATGTCTACTCAGTACCACAAAGTTAACTACAGAGTAAAATATTACCGCTCATACAAATTATTTAATAGTCCTCAATTTTCACTATGAACAGGATAGGTACTTTATAGGAGGGGCTTAGGTACACTCTAGCCATTCAAAGTGGTTCACTCTCTCAAACGGTTCATTTCTGCAATGTTAGCATCTAAATGATACGTTAGGACACTTACACAAGGAGCTGACCAGTAAGATCTAGTCTCTCTGAAAAGCATAACTGGAGAGTAAAAGTCCTCTCAAAACAATGCAAAGTTATCTGGAGAAATGGATCTTTTCCTACCTGCCTCCTAAACAACCAAATTCCAGTTTAACCACCTGATTGGTGTGTTCAGTATCAGAGTTCAAGAAACTTATAGCAATGCAAAGATAGCACCTTTCCAATTAGCCCATTTCCAAATAAAAGAAGAAATGACCAACTACATGTTAACCCACAGCCCCTTCACCAAGACCAAACAGAGGTATTGGTTCTTTTTATCTTTTAAAACTGTCAGCTCTCAAAGTAAAGAACGTCTGGGTCTGGCATAAACTCTTCACGGTATCAAATAGTAAGAGCTGTTAAAGAACAATGTGTAATAATGACAAGGGCTTCTCGTTTATAAATGTTCCCCCTTTGATCAAAATCACCTGTTGGCCCTAAAACATAGTATGTCTTTGTTCTGAATGTTTAACACAATAAAATATTATTATAGTAAAGCAACTCCCTGCTTCACTTTGTGAATCCTAAGGCTTAAGGCAACTCTAGCAAAAAAAAATGCCAGTAAATCTCCACGGTACACAGACCCCACAGGACGACAGCCCTTCCTTGAGCCTCCATTTCTCTGGGCTACGTCAAAAAGCGGAATGACAAGTTTCAAAGGAGCAGGCCAAGGACAACAAGAAGCCTTGTTTGCCAGGACTGAACACACTTACTTTGCCTTCAGCGTCTCCTCCTGGAAATTCCAGTGCGGGTCTTCCACCAGTTGCAATTCCCTCAATACCCTCCCAGGCTTGTAAGCGGCATTGATTATCATGCTAAGAACCTGTTGGGAAAAAGAACCACAATGAACTTCAATTGCACCTGTTCCTGCTGACACAAGGATGCGCTGAGAACCACCCTGCTGACACAGGAAGCATTTGTTATAACCCTCCACCTGGTGAAGGGCTGTGAAGAAGCCGGATGGAACGTTCCTCAGGCTCACCATCAACCGGACAAAAGGGGGGTGAGGTCCAATCCCTCTGCCTAGGAGAGCGTGAGCTGCTGGTGACGGGATGGCAGACTCCTACTGGTTGCAGAATAACTGAACCACTTCTTCCCAAGTGTGTGTGTTACATGCCGCTGAGTCAGCTCCGACTCTTAGGGACCCTCTGAGTGAGTGACGTCCACAGTGTCCTGTCCTCACAGCCCGGCTCAGCTCCTGCAGACCCTTGCCTACAGCTTCCTATGAGCCACTGATTATTCTTCAATAGGATTTCTCTCCAGTAGGATCGGCTACAGACAATGTCATTTGATGCTCAAAAATAAATGTCAAGGGGCATCAAAAAGACGGAGACAATAGGCTCGTGCCAACACTTGTGCACAGACTTCAGATACCTGTAAGGAGGGTAACAAATTATGTGACACTCACCTGATGCTGATCCAATTTATGGACATTTCATACTAGGGCAATTCTCTCAGAGATGACAGTGTTTCAAAAAAAGTCTGGAGCACCTAACAACACCTGCTATCTTATTTCCCCAAATACCCTTTCTCTCCCAGCTCCCAAGTCCAAGAAAAGAAGCATGTTGTCATTGCCAACTGCAACACACCCAGAGGGACCAGACACTTCCCTTCTAAAGCCCCAGCTGTGTGCCCAAGCTGGGAGGACATGACATGCCCCCTTTTGCCTTAATGCATTTCTGGAATGAAAAGAATAAGGAATTTAGAACCCTGGGACCCTCGCTTTTGCATAAGCAAATCATCATAACAATGAACATTTAAAAGGTCTGGCATGGTCATTTGCATAGAGAACTTAAGACCTAGGGGGTTTAGTTCCATGAAATGCCCGTGTGCCAGGCCCAAGGAGCACACAGACAAGAGCAGGACACAGTGACTGCCACTCAGGGAGTCTCTGCCAGCCCACAAGCAGCACAAGCCAGGCACTGCGCTCACATCTCATGTTTCAGGTCAAAACACCATTGAAAGAGTGATAAAAACACTCTATCAAGAAAGGACATCTGGCATCACTGCTGAGGCACTTCCTAGTTTTTAGAGGAGACCAGCACAACATTAATGGGAAGGGAGGAAATGCAAAACCGCTGGAAGAATTTTCAAGTTTCAGTCTTCATGTATCTGATGCATTCCAGGATATAACTGGCGTGGTTCATACCCTGATTTAATTGTGAAAAAACAATAAAGCTTTCACTGATTATAACTGAGGGTTCCACCTTAAGATAGTTTATACTATGCAGTCAACATGGCAACTGTCTTCTCTTTGCATGAGTAACTTTGCTCTCTGTCTCCAGGGCCCTGTGTCTGCCCGTCAAGAGGAGGTAGTTCTGCCAAGGCACTAAGAGGCCAGGACAAGGCAGAACAAGCAGTTTTGGTGTGTTTACGTTTTCTGTATTAGAATAATCATCTGATTTTATTGTTTACTGTTAGTACAATTTACAGAAACTAAGTTTAAGAATAAATCCAATTAGAACTGGCTGAAATAACGTGCAAAGTGTTTATAAACAGGCAATAAAATTTCAACTGATTCTTTTCATTGTGTTTTTCGCTGAGAAAACCCCAGAGCGACATGTTATTTGCTGCATATCGAAATGCATTTTGTGACTGTGAAAAGAAAATGCCTTCCAGAGTTCAATTCCGTCTGGGAACAGGCAGCAATTAAATCGTAAAAAGCATCCGATATTGAATAATTTTCCCAGTCCTTTTCCCCAATGCTGCATCCCTCGTCTCCAAATTCAACAAGCTCTCTATAAAAGTTTGGAACTGTGAGCCGAATGATTTTTGTGTACATGACATCTGTGTATTATACTTAGCTCCATGACATTAGCTAAGTTGACAGCTGTTATTACTATCCAGAGTTACACTGAATTACTATTCCTTGCAAAACATTATGCTCTTGATCAGAAAGGGAGGGTGGACCCTGCCCCCAGTTAACTAATGGGATGTTAGCTGTGAATTCAATGAACACTATTCCCAAGAAGACAGTGTGGGGGATGATGAGAGCCACTCCTGGAGGAAATTCATGCTGGACCAAAGCCTTCCTTGATTTCCTGGAGTTCATGAAATGCTCGCTGACAACATACTTCTACACAGAAACCCCAAGTGTATTATAGCAGAGAGGCTATAATAACCGTTGTAGTTGGACAGACCCCACTCCATCCCTTAGAAGCTGAGTCCTCAGGCAAGGTGCTTGATGAATTTTCTGTATAATAGGGGTGCTGCCATTTTTCTGGTTCATAATGAAGGGGGGCACTGAAATGGCTGCACAAATAAACCTTATTAAAAGAACCCTTACTTCCATGAGTTCCCCTGTATATTTACCTTCCTGCAAATACCACCCCAAGAAGCCCAAACCCCTTCTCTTTTGCCTTATCACCTCTTCATAATTTATTGCCTTTTGTTAAAACGGTATGTAAAAATCTCAAGCCTAACAGCTTTTTTTGGGTTTTCACTTTTTTTCTGTGAAGCCTGTGTGCATTAAAAATAAACTTTTCCTCCTATAAATCTGTTTATTTTTTTCAGTTTAATTCGCAGGTTCCAGCCACTGAATCTAAGAGAGTAGAAGATTTTCCTCTACTACCACAGGGATGTTATGAGAAATAAAGGAGGTAACATCTTGGTATACACAAACTATTTAAAGGTAGCCCTCTTCTTAATATCAGTGAGTCCTCATCAACCCATAAAATAAACTCTCCTGTGCTTTCAGCCTCTCTATCCCCACTGGCCTATATTTATGTTTCAGCCTTGCAACTCTGCAAAATACCTTTCCTTAGAAGCTCCTTTCTTACTACTGCTTCCTTTTCAGAACCAAACTTCTCATAAAAGCCATTTATACTTCCAAATTCTTCATCTTCGATTCAATTCTCAATCTACCCAAATATGGTTTCCTCTCCAACCACGACACAAACATGCTTTGGGAAAGGCACCCATGATCTGATATCATCTCCATGAGCACGTCCATCTCCCTGGACGGCGGGGGAACCTGCCAGTGCATTGCACTCTCCGGTCCTGCAACGCCTCTTTGCTTTCCTACCTCTGCTCCATCAGGCACAAGAGTTTGTGTAGAAAACGATGAGTGGGTCAGGGTATGGGGAAGGGGGAGGGGGAATCAGAGGGAGGAAGAGACAAAAAGGAGAGCGTGTAGGTGCTGATAGCAGGGAAAGGAGCAAACACTACAACAGTGCTTGGTAGTAAGAGCTACTCAGTAAACATTGGCTTCCTTCTCCCACTTCTCCCCTGTCCTGTACAGCGTCAGCACTTAAAAGGTTATGTCAATCGATGGGATGTTTCTCCCATTCACTTCATGAAGCTATGTTATTCCATGACTTCCTTTCATATTTGCGCTCATGAAAACCTCTCCCCAAATTTCCAACCTCAACTACATTATATGATTAAAGTTATTAGTATGTTGAAAGTGCAGGGAGCCACTTAATGCAAAAAAATTAATTGTCAAAATTAGAAAATATTTCAGAATGCAAATATGGCTCCCACAGCTTGGCTTTGGCAATTTCATGGGAAGACACACTTCCGACTTTGAAGGTTTGTAATGTGTTGAATTTTAGTGGCCAGGGGGAGAGGTCTCTTTGGGGCAGACTGTTAGAGACAGACTAGCCCACAGGGAGACAGGAAGACTATTCTTTCCCTGGAGGGGTCAGAGAAGGCTCTGGGTGAAAAGCAGCCTTCCCCCCGCCCCATGTTCACTGTCCCATCAGGCCTTCCTGCTTTGCAGCCTGTCCAAGAGCCACAGTTACAATAATTAGCTTTTTACAGAAACCAGGACCATCAAAGGTCCTCATGAGCTTAAAAGATTTCTCCTTTTCAACTTCAAACTCAGACGAGGTGGAGCTCATTTTATGAATACCTCTTTTAAAGTAAAATGATAAAGAATTTTTCTTACATGATCAGCACTTTTTCTATCAATAGGATTTCGCTCACGAATAGGATCGTATGTGGAATATTGCAAAAGGAATAAAATGAGATGATTCTGACTTCAACACCTGGCCCTGTCAATACAATGCAAGGCCCAGTGAGCTGCAGAGCAGACAAGCAGAGTTCTTAGCGTTGGAAGCAGATTTAAATGGAGACTGCTAATTAAAACCTGCCTCTCTGGCTAAAGGACTTTGGGATTCAGAAGAATTGTAGCTGTTGTGCTTCTTTTCCCGGCATTCTATCAAGCTTACCCTGCGTGCAGAGGTCTGCACCGCACCAACCGTGAGAAAATGCCATCAAAAACTGGCAAGAAAGAAGGAAGGTGTGCTTGCAGGAGCAGAGAGGAGCCCAAGTCTTGTCTTCTTTTCAGTGTAAACATAACCTTCTAATGCAGCCAGAGAAAAGCAAGAAATGAGCTTTGAAAAGAAAACAAGGCAAGTAACTTTTTCAAGTTATGTACCTCTCAAGTAGATGTTTTCATTGTCTCCACTATATCTATATCTAATACACTCCCAAAATACTAGCTAATGAGAACTGTTATATTCATCTCTCCTTTTGTTGTTACAAAAGCTTTAATAACAACAGTAGTGAAACCAGCCTCTAACTTCGTTTAGATTCTAACACAAGGCTGACCTCCCCTGGGCAACCCACCACCCCTGGAGAGGAGGGACACATGCCAGTTTCGGTGGCAATGTTAGGGATCCCCAGTGCTTCCCTGGTAGGCAGATCCCCCTTCCTCCAAAGGAGGCTATAATCTTCAGGAAATTTCCACCTCACCCTGGAAGACCAGTGGGAAACACCCACCATGTCCTGGATCTTCAATCACCTCAGTCACCAGAAACTCAACATTTCTAGAACATTCCTCTACCCAGAATTTGATTCCCATGTGGCTCTGTATTTTCC